GCAGAACAGTTTAACTTGCAGTAGAAATTCTAATAGAGTAGTCTCATTCCCAAAGGTAACTCTCTGCATAGTATAAAACTACATTCATTGGGACTGGTTGGTGGAATAACTAAACTGAATTTGAGAATTATGGAATTTGTATGAAATAAATGCTTTTCTTATAGGAAATGGGCAGACAGTCAGGAGATATAGCCCATCAAAGAGCCCAAATGGAACCGCCTTGTGCAGGAATCAGCCACACAAAGGAACACCCGCAATGTGCTAGTAAGTAAGACAACGTTTCATGGCAACAACAATGGAACAATGTCATGTTTGCTTTTTTTTTTAATAGTTGCTGCAAAATTTCTAATACTGCTGGTCTTCAATCACATTAATCCTTACAGCTCTTCGGGGAACTAAAATCATTTATTCTCTACAATGGAATATTACTCAGCCATAAAAAGAAACGAAATTGAGTTATTTGTAGTGAGGTGGATGGACCTTGAGTCTGTCATACAGAGTGAAGTAAGAAAGAGAAAAACAAATACTGTATGCTAACACATATATATGGAATCTTAAAAAAAAAAACAATAAAAATGGTTCTGAAGAACCTAGGGGCAGGACAGGAATAAAGATGCAGATGTAGAGAATGGACTTGAGGACACGGGGACGGGGAAGGGTAAGCTGGGACGAAGTGAAAGAGTGGCGTGGACATATATACACTACCAAACGTAAAATAGATAGCTAGTGGGAAGCAGCCGCATAGCACAGGGAGATCAGCTTGGTGGTTTGTGACCACCTAGAGGGGTGGGATAGGGAGGGTGGGAGGGAGGGAGATGCAAGAGGGAAGAGTTATGGGAACATATGTATATGTATAACTGATTCACTTTGTTATAAAGCAGAAACTAACACACCATTGTAAAGCAATTATACTCCAATAAAGATGTTAAAAAAAAAAAAGCATTTATTCTCCAATTCACAGAAATAGTTTTTTAGACTCAGGGATAAGATAAAATGTGTTCATTAAATAAATAGAAGAGTAAAGAGTAAAATGAAGATATCTTGACTCTTGGTTCTGTGGTTGACTTACTTTAAAGAGGAGACAAGGATCATTATTTATCATATAGAAATTTGTTCAGCAACTTTGTAATAGACAGCTGAATTCCTCAGGTCACAATCATCTTCTCTGCAATAGAGTAACTAGTATTGCCATAATAGAAATAAACAAATAAGGCCTTAGGAATTTACTTCTGCATAAAAGGTACTAATGAGTATGAAAATCTATACATATAAAAGTCCAGAATGTAGAGGGATAATTAGATCATTTTTCTCAGTTTTTCAGGTGTGTGTAGTAGTGATATCTGGGCCTAATTTCATCACAAATACATAAAGCTCTGATTTTGACTTGGGCTATATATGAAAATTGGAGGGGATTGACAATATGCTACATTTGTTTGTCAATTTGCATGTAATGGTGTTTAGATATTTTCATGAGCATCCCGCAGTTTAATAAACTGCTTCTTTTTTTTTTTTACCGGTACACGGGCCTCTCACTGTTGTGGCCTCTCCCGTTGCGGAGCACAGGCTCCGGATTTAAACTGCTTCTTATTCTTTGTTCTTTTGAGTACTTTCTGTCATTTCAGTCATTTCTTACCTTTTAGCCAGAGTTAGTGAGTCACTCCCTCAGTGTTGTGTATGCGGATGTCCATATTATCTGGAACACAATTCCCTAAAGTACTCATAAGCATTATCTCTACAAGTTAACAGAAGTTGGTAGAATAATAACCCAAAGGCCTCAGTCAATTCTGATTCCTTTCAGATAATCAAAGAAAGATTATATATTTTTATTATTAAGCATATTCTATTTCATTCCATTATTTCCATTAAAATTGATATAACTATTTTATATGGCAGCTCTCTGACCATCTATAGGGTCCTCTAATCCTGCTCCCTTTGGTCACAATACATCATCATTCTCTTTACCTAAGGAATTTGACATGGAGTCTTCTTGATTTGGACTTGCCCATTTGACAATAAATTGTTATACTTCTCCCAAAGAGTGATATTAGTTAATTCAGGAAATTAACACTCTGAAATTATATAAATTCAAGTAACTTCTTAACTATTTTCACCTATTTCTTCATATAAATTTTAGAATATTATTGAAAATTTTACCCAAAAAAGTCCTGTGGAACTTTTATGTTGAGTAAATTAAATTTATAAATCAATTTAAGAAGGTCCATTATATTAACAATTTTTTATTCTTTTACAGTGACATGTATACATCTTTATCTCTTCACATTTTCTCAGCAGAGCTTTGTAGTTTTTTTCATAGAGGCACATACGCTTCCTTTATCGGGCAAAAAAAATCCCATATAAGCATATCTGTATTGATTTTTTATTGCTGCTATAACAACTTTACCACAAACTTAGAAGCTTAAACCAATATAAATTTATTCTCTTACAGCTCTGTCAGATGTTCAACACAAATTTCACTGAACTAAAATCAAGATGTCAATAGGGCTGCATTGCTTTCTCATTCTTCTTCCCAGGTTTATTGAGGACTAATTGACAAAAAATTAATATATTTAAAGTGTACAACATGATATAATAATTTGATATATGTATACATTGTAAAATGATTACCATAATCAAACTAATTAACACATCCAGCAAAAGTGGACCTGTGAAATTGAAACCCACATTGTTTAAGGGTCAACTGTATGTAAATTAATTGTATTTCTATACACTACCAATAAATAATTTAAAATTAAATTAACAATAACATCAACAAACATAAAGTACTTGGGGACAAATTTAATTTAATATGTGTGATTACAAATGAAGATGACTAACATTGCTGAGAAAAATTAAAGAAAACCTAAATAAATAAAGGGATATACCATGTTAATGGATTGAAAGGCTGCATATCATTAAGAGGTCTATTCTTTCCCAAACTGATCTATAGATTCAATGCAATCCTAATCTAAGTTCCAGCACTATTCTTTGTAGAACTATACAAGCTTTTTACAAAAATTTACATGGAAATACAAAGAATTTGAAATAGCAAAACAATTTTGAAAAAGAAGAAAGTTTGAGGGCTCACACTACATAACTTCAAGATTTACTATAAAGTAATCAAGACAACGTGCTATTGATTTAAATATAGACATATATGTCAATGCAACAGAATATAGAATCCAAAAATAAATTGACACAAAAGGTCAACTGATGGGCTTCCCTGGTGGCGCAGTGGTTAAGAGTCCGCCTGCCGATGCAGGGGACACGGGTTCGTGCCCCGGTCTGGGAAGATATCACAGGGAAGATACCACATGCCGTGGAGCGGCTGGGCCTGTGAGCCATGGCCACTGAGCCTGCGCGTCCGGATCCTGTGCTCCGCAACGGGAGAGGCCACAACAGTGAGAGGCCCGCGTACCACAAAAAAAAAAAAAAAAAAAAACACCAAAATGAAGGTCAACTGACTTTCAACAAATGTGTCAAGGTAACTGAATGGGGAAAAAATAGTCTTTTCAAATGGTGCTGGATCAACTAAATAGATTGAAAAAATGAATCTCAACCTTTATCTTATACCATATAACAAAGTAAACTCAAAATGGATCACAGACCTAAAATTTAAAGCTGAAACTATAAAATTTCTAGAAAAAAATGGGAAAATCTTCAAGACTTTGGTGTAGGCAAAGATTTCTTAGGACACAAAAAGGATCAACTGTAAAAGTGAAAAATTGGACTTAAAGTTTAAATTTCTGCTCTTCAAAATATATCATTCAGAAAATAAAGCTGCAAGCCAGAGAGTAATAAAAATATTGGCAAGACATATATCCATCAAAGGTCTTATATCCAGAATATACCAAGAATTCTTACAACATAGTGACAAGAAGATAAAAAATAATGTATGAGCAAAATATTTGAATAGGAACATCACAAAACAAGATATATGAAAGGATAATAAGCAAATGAAAAGATTCTCAACAGTAATCATTAGGGAAATGAAGAATAAAACCACACACACACTCACCAGAATGCTTAAAATTAAAGGTTGACAATTCCCATTGTTGGATGTTAAACTCTTATACTTCTGATGAGAGTATAAAATCATACAATGACTTTGAAAAACTGTCTTGTAGTTTCTTACAAGTTAAACATACACTTACCATGTGATCCAATAATTCTACTCGTAGTTACCCAAGCGAAATGAAAATACATATCCAAAATAACCTGTAAATAAATGTTTATAGCTACTTTATTCATAATTATAAAAAAACTAGAAACACCCAAATGTCAATCAATACATGAATGAATAAACAAATTGTAGTATGCCCATACAATAAAATATTACTCAACAATAAGAAGGATTAAGGTACTGATACCCACAAAGACATGGGTTAATCTCAGAAACAGCATGCAGAGCAAAAGAAGTCAGGCATAAAAGAGTACATACTGTATGATTCAATTTATATGAAACTATAGGAAAGACAAATTTAGTTTACAGCGACAAAAAATCAGATGCTTGGGTTCTTGGGTGGGGATACAGTGATTTCTGGGAAGGTGCTGAAGAAACTTTTTGGGGTGATGGAAATGTTCTCTATCTTGATTAAAGAGGTAGTTAGATGGGTATACCTTTGTCAAATTTTATCAAACTGTACAATAAAATGAGTACATTTTGTGTAATTAATTTCTATATCAATAAAGTTTATTTTAAAATAAGTTCTAATACATCTCCATCTTGATTTTGTCAAAGTACTACAAAAAGTACAAAATAGATGTAGAAATAAATGAGAGAATCACTTTCAAAGTGACTAAATTTAATTCAATATAAATAGGATAAGGCTTAAACACCTTGAAAATATTTATATTTGAAAGCAGGATTAAGACCACTATAATGTATAAAACACAGGTGTGATGTACAGCTTCCCAGAGGCAATAACCTAAAGAACAATACAAATCAAAAGAGTAGGTTCTCTTACTTTACCTGTTCCTGAAACTGAGACCATGCCCTGAAGTCTATGTGTTTTTTTACTGGTGTAACTAGAAGTCTTCTTTAAACTTTTCCAGATCCTTTTCCTTTACATATTACAATATGATCTTTTCCTTTATTTAAGTAATAGTTAACAAGTCACTCTCTTTAGTGCAGAAGTCTGCCCTGCTTCATGCCATTTCACCTAACGATTTTGATTTCTTACTTTTACTCTCATTAAAGATATGACCATAATAATATCTATAATTCCAAACCCATAATATACATGATTTCATGAAAAAACTCGTCTCTGTCTGAGATGCTTCATAGCACTTTTTATTTCCTCATTCCTCAAGGTGTCAATGAAGGGATTCAGCAAAGGGGTGACCACTGTGTAGAAGACAGATACCAACTTGTCAGTGGAGAAGCTGGTGTCTGGCTGAGTGTAAATGAAGATAACATGGTCCAAAGAAGAGGGAAACCACCATGAAGTGGGCTAAACAGGTGGACAGAGCTTTCCTGCGCCCTTCAGCTGACTGTTTTCTAAGAGAAAACAAGATGATGGTGTAGGAGGCGACCAAAGCCAGGAAACAGGAGAGGGAAATGGTTCCTCTATTGGACACAATCAGAATTCCTGTGAGACATGTATCTGTGCAGGCCAGCTTGATGACAGGAGGAACATTACAGAAGTAGCTATCAATAACATTGGGGCCACAGTAAGGTAGACGAATGGTCAAGAAGGTCTGCACCAGTGAGTGAACAGTACCCGCCAACCAGAGCACAAAGACAAGCTGTACACAGACCCTCATGTTCATCACATTGGGGTAGTGTAATGGAGCACAGATGGCTACGTAACGATCATAGGCCATAATGGTCAGCAGAAGGATCTCAGCACAGGCAAACAGATGTAGGAAGAAGAGCTGTGCAATGCAGGAAATGGTCTTTCTGTCAAAAAGCAAACCCTCCAGCATCTTAGGCACAGTGACAGATGAGTGGCAGATGTCAATAAAGGACAGATTGCTCAGGAAGAAATACATGGGTGTACTAAGACATGGAGTAAAGACTATGGTAACCATGATGAGAATGTTCCCCCAAAGGGTTAGCACATACATGGCTGAGAATGCCATGAAAAATAGTATTTCCAGCACCCAGTTATCAGTGAGTCCCAAGAAGACAAATTGAGTCACTCTTGTTTGGTTTAGAACATCCATCCAATGAGTTTCCAAAGGATCTTGGGGGGGAAAAACATGAACGCTAATTTAGCCTTAATATTATAGGACTGGAACTAATTGAAGTGACTCTGCATTTCTATCTGAGTTGCTTATTTATTATCAGGGTATATAGAGTATAAGATCAATTTAATAACAATTGCTATAATATACACAGTATGTATCAGGAGCCATTCCATGCCTTTTATATACACCATCTTATTTAACCATAACTGCACCATGGCATAAGCATTATTGTTCCTCTCTTGCAGATAAGTGGGCTCTACAAGAATAAATAAGTTGCCCAAACCCTTAGCCACTAGGTAGCTGGCTTTTTTCATTTCAGTCTAATCCACAGGTAACACCAAATTAATATTCCAAAATACAACTCCCAGCTAAGATCATTCACTATTTCATTCTTCCTATCAAATTAAAAGTACCTTCAAAGCCTGCAACAATCTGCTGCACATTTATTTTTCCAGTATGGCATCTTCTCTCCAGCCAAGCAAGTTACCATGCTCCAGCCATGCTACCTCCACCAACTTACATTCCAAAATCTTTGTCTGTATTTATGTTGTTCCCTCTGCTCAGAAAACACACCCTCCAATCAACTGTACTCTCCTCATCACTGACTATTAAAACACTTCATCCTGTAAGACTACCTCAAAGAGCAGTACCTTTAAGAAAACTTAACTGAGGCAATCAAATCCTATCTCTTCCCCTTCATACTTCTTTTTTATAAAAGAAAGTATAAAATAAGATATCTGGTTTTGCTCCCCCATTAAATTGAAATTTTCTTGAAAAGCAATAGCCACATATGACTTATCCCTTGCAGCACTTAACATGACATCTGGCACACAGTAGTTATGCGGAAGATATTTTTATTTGAACTGAACCTACCTTCTTAGGTAACCTGCAAAAGAATCCAATCCTTCTTCACAATGGAGCTAATAACTGACTTTAAAAACCTATTTTTTTAATTCTGTAATATGATTTGTCCCCTAGGAGATATTATTGTGTAAACACTAAAGTTATATTACCTGTAATTTTCTATACTGATTGGCTGGCCAAAAACTATAACAGAGTTTAGGAAACATTTACCACAAACCATAAAAAAGATTTATAGGGACTCCCCTGGTGGCGCAGCGGTTAAGAATCCGCCTGTCAATGCAGGGGACACAGGTTCGAGCCCTGGTCTGGGAAGATCCCACATGCCGTGGAGCAACTAAGCCCACAAGCCACAACTACTGAGCCCATGTGCCACAACTACTGAAGCCCACGCGCCTAGAGCCCGTGCTCCACAACAAAGACAAGCCACTGCAATGAGAAGCCTGCACACCACAATAAAGACCCAATGCAGCCAAAAAATAAATAAATTTTAAAATATATATATTTATATCTTGATCTAATTATTTTCACTTGTAGGAATTTCCTAAGCATCCAAACTATTGAAAAAGCTAAATGCAAGAAAACATTAATTAAAGCATTATTTAAAATAAGTCATGGAATATTTTTTTGAAACTTAAATGAACATAGCAAACCTGATATATAATGATATTTAAATAATATATAACTTGAATATAATGAACTGTATGCAGCCATTAGAAATGGTAATAACAAAGGATTACCAATATGAAAAAATATTGAAATATTATGAAGAATTAAAAGTGAGATAAAATTTGTTTATACAGTCTCAAAATTTTTAAATATACATAGTGCCATATAAATTATCAAAATACATATAGTAGACTAGAGAAAATGCTGCAATACATATGATTAAAAAGAGTAATATTCCTAGTGTTCAAAGATCTCTTAAAATTTGACAAGAAAAGACAAATGACAATTAAATATGGCCAAAAAAATATAAATAAGCAAGTCACAGAAAAAGAAATGCAAATAACAAATAAGTATGAATAAAAAGATGCTCAACTTCAGTAGTAGGTGAAAAAAAACAAATACCTTTCGTCTCTCTTCAGATTGGCAAAGGTGTAAGGAACTGAGCACTGTATAGACTGCTACTGGAAGTAGGTGTTATTAAGAGCTTTTTGCTAAATAATCAGGCAGTACCTATTAAAAATTTAAATGCCCATACCTGTAACCCAAGAATCCCTCTTCTAGGACTGTATTTCATAGAAATAAAGCAATCAGGAATTAAGGATATATCGATATGTTTATTGAAAAATGTTAGCAAAACAAGGTACTGGAAATAAACTGAATGTTTATCAAAAGAAAAATAGGTAAATAAATTTTAGTACAGCAACAGTATGGAATATTATATAGCCATTAATAAGAATGAGTTGGATCTATGTATAATGACTTAAACAGTGGTTCTCAATGTGGCTGCACTTCAGAACCACCTGGGGGCGGTTTCTAAATTTTGCTGCTCAGGCCTCACCCCAGAAGATTAATTCAGAATCTCTGGAGGTTGGACCCATCAGTACTTTTAAAGCTCCTTGGTGATTCCAGCATACAGCCAAGATGGCAAACTATTAACTTCAAAAAATGTCAACAATATATTAAGTGAAAAGAGCGTGCTATAAATATATTGTGAACCAGGAGAGAAGGGAAGGGAGGAAGGGAGGGAAGAAAGAAAGAAGGAATAAACAAAGGAGCAAAGGAAGGAAGGAATCAAAAGAGATTTTATATATACATACACACACATATATATGAATATGAACTTATTTACACATATTCAAACATATATATATTCATGAATTCTGTTTGTATGTATTTATCCCTAAAAAGAAAGATGATATGTGCTAAAGAATACACACATATTTTAACACTGGTTACCTGTGGAAGTATAGAATTGAAAGGAACACTAGTAGCATTTTATTAATTTTTATATTATACTCTGTAATTGTTCAAATTTGTATATAAGTATGGGTTACTTTGTTTAAAAAGAAAGTATTAAAAGCATGCATGGGGGGGAAAAAACAAAGGAAATGAAAATGCTGACTTCATGGGATTATGAGTACATTTTTCCTTCTCCACATCTAAGAGCTTATGATATAGTTTTATTTCTTTTTTTTTTAATTTTTAAAAAATATTTATTTATTATTATTTATTTGTTTGGCCTGGTCTTAATTGTGGCAGGCAGGCTCTTTAGTTGCGGTATGCAGACTCTTACTTGCAGCATGCATGTGGGATCTAGTTCCCTGACCAGGGATCAAACCCGGGCCCCCTGCATTGAGAGTTCAGAGTCTTAACCACTGCACTACCAGGGAAGTCCCTAATATGGTTGTATTTCTTATAAAGAAATATTCTTAAGATGGGGAGGACTTTTCTCATAAACTCCTGGTCAGCAATGCATTAGTAGCAGAGAACCAAGAGCTGTTTTGCTTTCAGCTAAGGAGAGGGTAGAGGCTCTTCATAAGAGCACATACGGTGGTGATTTCAAATAACTATGACCTTTGGCCGTCACCCTCTAAGCCTCAGTTTTCTGAACTGTAAAATAGGAACTAGATGCATCTTTTCTATGTGAGTAGTTGTAGCAGATGTCTAGGTCTCCTGTCAAAAAGATCAATAGAGAAACCAGGGAATGGGAAGAATCTCTGGCTTTGAAGAGCATCATTAAAAATTGAAGCTCAGGCCTTAGCAGGACTGGGCTTTCCAGGCTTACGCCAGCCTTTCCAGGCAGGGTGGGCTGGGAACTACCCTCAGCCTTGGCTCTGAATTAATTCCCCCCACCTAGGCGGTAGCACAGGAACCCTCCACACGGTTCCGGCTTTTCTCAGGAGGCTGTCAGCCCTGCCCACCCACCTCATCTCCTGCACTGTTGGCCACCCAGCTTCCAGGTGTCTGCTCCTCTGGTGAGACGGAGCCGGTAGACGCTCTCCTCAGCTCCTTGCCTGGGTGGGCAAGTCAGGCTCTAGGGCCGGCAGAAATCCTCATTTGAGGGTCCCACTGAGTTCCCTGGTCAGAGTGCTGCAGCTGAGCAGATAGGCTGCTTGGGAATACTGCTCAGGTGCTGCAGAAAGCCTTCTTGGAATCTGACATGTTATCACTTTGGGACCATTGGCCAGCTGCTCCTGACTTGGCCACTTGAAGGCTCAGACTGTTCCAGTCTCTGAACTGAAGAGAACCAAGACTATTAGCATATCTCTCACCACCATCAATGCAAGGTATTTCAATGAAGAGTTCAATGAAGAGGAGGACAACTACAAATCCCACACTGGCATGTGCAAGTTCTGAGGAATGGTGGAATAACCCAATGTGTCTGGGTGACCTTTGGAGACAGCTGAGATAGAGCTACAACAGGGCAGTAGTGGACACCAAACTTATAGCCCATCTTCCCCAGCCGTGTGGCTGACAGGGTCTTGGTGCTCCGGCCAGCTGTCAGGCCTGAGCCTCCGAGGTAGGAGAGCTGAATTCAGGACACTCGTCCACCAGAGACGACCTGGCCCCACGTAATATCAGTCAGCAAGAGCTCTCCCAGACATCTCCATCTCAACACTAAGACCCAGCTTCACTCAATGACCAGCAAGCTCCAGTGCTGGACACCCCATGCCAAACAACTAGCAATGCAGGAACACAACCCCACCCATTAGCAGAGAGGCTGCCTAAAATCATAATAAGCTCACAGACACCACAAAACACACAACTGGATGCAGTCCTGTCCACTAGAAAGACAAGATCCAACCTCATCCACCAGAACACAGGCACCAGTCTCCTCCACCAGGAAGCCTACACAACCCACTAAACCAACCTTACCCACTAGGAGCAGACACCAAAAACAACGGGAACAACGAAACAACAGCCTGTGAAAAGGAGACCCCAAACACAGTAAGTTAAGGAAAATGAGAAGACAGAGAAATACACAGCAGATGAAAGAGCAAGGTAAAAACCCACCAGACCAAACAAATGACGAGGAAATAGGCAGTCTACCTGAAAAAGAATTCAGAGTAATGATAGTAAAGATGATCCAAAATCTTGGACATAGAATGGAGAAAATACAAGAAATGATTAACAAGGACCTAGAAGAACTAAAGAGCAAACAAACAATGATGAACAACATTGAACAATAAATGAAATTTAAAATTCTCTAGAAGGAATCAATAGCAGAATAACAGATGCAGAAGAATTGATAAGTGACCTGGAAGATAAAATAGTGGAAATAACTCCTGCAGAGCAGAATAAAGAAAAAAGAATGAAAAGAATTGAGAACAGTCTCAGAGACCTCTGGGACAACATTAAACACACCAACATTCGAATTATAGGGGTCCCAGAAGAAGAAGAGAAAAAGAAAGATTCTGAGAAAATATTTGCAGAGATTATAGTTGAAAACTTCCCTAATATGGGAAAGGAAATAGTCAATCAAGTCAAAGAAGTGCAGAGAGTCCCATACAGGATAAATCCAAGGAGAAACACACCAAGACACATATTAATCAAACTATCAAAAATTAACTACAAAGAAAAATATTAAAAGGAGCAAGGGAAAAACAACAAATAACATACAAGGGAATCCCCATAAGGTTAACAGCTGATCTTTCAGCAGAAACTCTAAGCCAAAAGGGTGTGGCAGGACATATTTAAAGTGATGAAAGGGGAAAACCTACAACCAAGATTGCTCTATCCAGCAAGGATCTCATTCAGATTCAGCCGAGAAGTTAAAATCTTTACAGACAAGCAAAAGCTAAGAGGATTCAGCACCACCAAACCAGCTTTACAGCAAATGCTAAAGGAACTTCTCTAGGCAGGAAACACAAAAGAAGGAAAAG